AAAAAAAAAAAAAAGAAAAGAAACAGTTATTCTCTGAATACACCCACCAGGTCCTGTCACCACCTTGTGTGCTGTTTAAAAGTTCCCCTTCCTTTACTGTTGTTTCAGCCCCTGGGGTGGAGGGTGGAGGCAGTATCAAATCCAAAGTATATTTATAATAGAAGAAAGAGATTATGAATACATTCAGGTGTTAATACGTTTTGAGGATTTCTAGTGTTTGCTGACGGAAAAGACATTGTGTGTAGCTGCATTCAGTCAACACGAAAGAGCTTTGCAAATAGTTGTGGGCAGTGATTAAATTAAAAGTTTAGGGCTGTTTGTTTTTCCTGTGTGCTCCGTGCATGGGCCACACAGGTCCAGGCAATGTTCCTCACTTCCTATCTTCCTGCACACCTCTCTAGCTATGTTTCATTATCTTTTGTTATGGCTCTCAGAGAGAAAAGCTGGTTATTAATTTCATTTGAAAGGCTGATGTCATTCTCCTATTCTGCAAATAGCTAACCTGATAAGGAGCTAATTATAAACAGCATCGGGAGTTAATAACTCAGTAATATGTTTGTTTTTCTCTCGCTAGACTTGTCCTAGGATTTTTAAAAAAATATTTAAATACATGGATTCAGCAGAATTATCTGTGTGCAGGTTAGAAAATGTGCCCAAAAGAATAACCTAGGTTTATTCAGAAAAGTTCATCAGTTGATCAATATCTGTTCATGCCTCACCAGCTCTAGTCGGTCACCTGCCCTGTGGCAGGCACTGTATTAAGAGCTTTACATACCTGATCTGATCTAATCTTCACAAACAGTTTTACAATATAGACGGTGTTGCCATTTAAACAACAGAGCAACACAAAGCTCAGAACAGTGAAGTAACTTCCCCGAAGTGGCAGTCTTTGTAAACGACAGAGTCTTCTCTCAAAGTCAAGTCTGTTAGAACTTTAAAGACAGGCTGTTTCATACAGAGTTCTCTTAGGAACAGAGCTGATTCTTCTAGTAAGAAATGGCCCTAGGAAAGGAATTTCTAGCATCTACTCTTCCCTGACACTCAGCAGTTGCTGCCTTGAACTGTTCTCACCATCGTTCACGTGTGTACACCTTCTGCCTTCCGTCTGGACTGGTAGTGCCTCCCCCTTCCAAATCAGCCACAGATGTTACTGAGATTGGGACTGTCCTCAGCACCGTGCAGACTCATGTAAGGTCAGGTGAAAGGGGCTTTCCAATCTAGTGGTAGGTATTGCCAAGCAAATGGAAATTTTCAGTTCAGGGCAGTATGAATGCTCAGTGAAGTGGCATCTTGCAGTCCTAAGGATGTTGAATAAGGCCTGTGCACCTTATAGGTAGTAGGAATTAAACAGATCCTTGGAATTAAGGTAATACTCTCACCTTAATTTTCAGGTTGCATTGCTAGGAATACAAGAACAAGTTCCATGCATAAGAAGAGATACTGTACCACTCCTTTGGAGACTATCTGCCCTCTCTTTTATGTAGAGATCTTACTGATACTTTCCTGTTTTCCTCAAATATTTCTGAGGGAATAGGATCAGTATGTTAGTCAAGAACAAGAAACCGAAATTAATGGGTGATTCATGTCCAAAAGTGAGATAGATAGGTAAATAAATAAGATTGATTGGTATTAATTTTAAGTGTTCTACTCCTTCAGAGTAAACATCTCCAAAATCATGAAAAGGCTAATATAAAAATAGGTATAAAATATATTCTTTATTCCAAAAAACTTCATCAAAATAAACCAAGTGTTGAGTCTGCGAAGTCAGTAAGTGCTGTCCTGGACGCTGTCACCTGTCCCTCCTGGCCTCACTCGCTCTCTTCACTGCTGGCCTTTCCTCTCCTCATCCTGTACCTCCAGCCTCCAAGCAGTTACCTTGTATGAGCTCCTGAAAGTCCCTGCTTTCAAACTAAGACATCAGCTAATAACTACGGAACCTTTCAGCTTTAGGATTTAATACCTGCTTGGAGTATTCGCATTCTGTTGGAGGGAACCAAGGAAATCAAAAGCTTTAAAGACTCAGAAAAATGTTAGTTGGGGAAATGATGGACAGCAGAGCTGGCCTTTGGGGTGGTTCTCACTGAACCGTGATGCGGGGCTGCATCCTTGCCATAGGTCCTCATGTGCCATGTTGAAATCATGAGCCTAGTTTAGCAGTTTCTGAGCATCTGCTAGTAACCAAAAGTGGACACTACAGATTAAAAAAAAAAAAGGAAGAAGAAAAGGAAAATCGTTTTTCCTGTGCGTCTTACAGCTCTGCCAAAATATACAGGCCTTGCCTTTTATTTGCCAGGGTACTTCAAGGAAATATTTACTTTTTTCCAATATGTATTCTTACAATTTCCATGGAAATTTCAAGTGGCCTTCAGTTTTCAAACGCAGCAGATGATATTAAACATGGGAAGAGAGACCAGAATCTTTATGAAAAGATAGGTGAGATGTTTCTCACCTGGAACCTAAAGCAGGAGTCACGTTCAGGTTCAGCTCTGAGCTGCTTGGTTGCCGGGCAAGGAGGGGAAGCCGTAGATTGTATAGCATGTATTTTCTATAAAAGAAAATAGAATAAATCCATTCAAAGAAAGCACATTTTTCTGGTTACACATTATAAGGAATGTTACTCTTTTATTAAAGGCTTCTATTAGATGTTGTTTTATGTAAAATATAGAAAAGTTCTTCAAGCATGATTTTTTCATTGAACTTTGAGGAAAGCCAAGCAAAGAATATTCCATAAGGTATCGAAGGCATTTCCTTTAAATATGTAGTGCTAAGCTAGTGTGGTACGTTTATGCTGCTTTCCTGGGGCCTGGCGTTCATGAGAGTGGAGCTTAGTGGCTGAGAACACTGGGGCACCAGCATTAATCACTAGGATTTTTTGCCTTCCATCAGGCCCTCCGCATTTTCTCATTCAGACTTTCTGCTGTCATTTCTTAACTGTCTCCCTGCCCCTGGGCTCCATCCCTTTCCCTTTGCCTTTCCAAGTCCATCATTTGTACAATTACCAGAGTAACTTTCCTAAAATAAAACTCCCAGTCAGTCCTTGTTTAGACTGTTCCAGGGAGTCTCCACTGCTCACAGGATGGAGTCCAGACACACGGTGTCTTCTGCAGCCTCACCCTCCGCGCCTGCTGTGCTCCTCCTTCCTTCCCTGCAGCCATCCCAAACAGCGGGCAGTTCTCTGCCCGTAACACACTGTGCTCATGCTATTGCTTCTGCCTGGTACCCGCCTCCCTCCTGGGGAGGGGTGCACAATATCTGATAACCTGTGTGATGTAAGAATACCAGTTAGAACAGATGCTTCCTGCTGCAGGGCTGGGGCCAGGTCCTGGGGTGCTTCTGAGGGGCCAGGCATTAACCCCTTAGTTTGGGACAGTAAGGGTGTCCTGGGTCAGAGAAAGGGTGGAAAGTTGGAAGAAATGTACGGGCTTGAGACGGTAACAGTTTACCAGTTGGCGAAGAAATATTTCAGTATTTTAAAAACCCAAACGGCCTCCCAAGTGTCCCATCGGCTGAGTGTCTTCCTGGCTTTCCTCCCCTGTCTCTTCGACAGTCTCAAAGACGGCTCAGGAGCCATCTCCTGTGGGGAGCTTTCCTGACCTGCAGGCTGGCCTGCCGTCTTCTCTCCACTGTGCGGCCAGCTTGGTGCTGTTCACGCTTCCGTCATGATGCCTGTGCTCATCTCTGTCTCAGTCTGAGGAGATGGGGGTCCTGTCCGACTCTTCCCTGTATCCCAGAACCTAGCACAGCACCAGGCTCGCAGGGTGGGCACAACACGTGTGCCCACTAGTGATAAACCCTGCCTGTTCTGACAGTGTGGGGGGCTTTGTCAGGTAAGGCAGCTAGAACGAGAATAGCACCCAGCTAGCAATTTACTGCCTTTCACCCCTGAAGCCTCAAATTGGGAGGGAAATTCAGTCCTTCCACAGGAGGAAATGAGATACATTCTGGAAGTTTCTCCGAAAAGCAAACATCCGTACCCTGGTGGAATGAAACTTCACTTCTGTAATCTCAGCATAGAGGAAACACGTGCAGGTCATGGGGCCACTCTCTCTCCTTGCTCCTCACTCCCACAGGCCGGTACACTCCTTCCTCCCATTTTTATCTGTTTGGTTCACTGTTTTAGCTCCAGTGTGTAGAGCAAGACCTGGAGCAGCTACGTAGTAAATATCTTTTTTTTTTTTTTTTT